AAGAGTTTTTCGGCCATATATGCCTTTGTAACTCGTCTTATTATTGTAAATGAAGACACAAAATACTTTAATATTGCATTAAATATGTACTTATGATCCGTTAAGTTAAACGGCGTTAACAGGTTGCTTTATTATTTGTTATTATCAGTGTTGCCAACAAAATATTACAGACAACCTATTTTAGTATAACCTTAGGTTATTAACCTAACTTTTGAGCTACCCGAAAAATGTTGTTTTTACCGTAAAACTCGCGAATATCGGTGTTTCGTGTAAATATTCGTGTTATTAAAGTGCCAAAGGTGTATTCTATCCTTTTAAATGCGAAATTTCGTGCGGTATAGTAAACCTTTAGTGCGGTATGTGTTTGTTTACTAACATTGAACTAATTCATTGTTTCTTTGTGTCAACAAATAATGTTTTCGTGTGTTAACTTTTGTTTTTGTGTGGAGAAGCTATTTTATATTGTGGAGGATTTTTTGGAGGCCTGGAATGCACCTACGAACGACTATAACCACTTGTGACTTTGCCCATCGTAATATGGATTTTATATTTTTATAAATCTTTTTTTAAGTTTATTTCATGGAATTATATTAAAATTAACTATAAAAATATTTTAGCATTTAGCATAAAAGTTTAGTGACAATTAATTCTTATAAATGGTATTTGTGAATATTGGATTTTAATAATTTGTAGTAGTTTTTCAAAAATGTTAATAAATTTGTTTTTTCTCACATGCAAAAAAAAACAATTAGAGCAAGGGTAGAAAATAAGTTGGAGAATTAAATTTTTTCTTTCATTGGCATAGAAATTTGAAATGGAAATTAAGGTAGGTGCTCATATTTATTTATCATTATTTTTAATTGAAAAATCCCCACATGCAATTCAAACATTTTGTATTATTTAATAATACACATTTTTAGAACCTCTTTGTATAATAAGACTATAACTTTCAGCCAGATCATTTTTGGCAAAGATATTTTGGGTCAAATTGCAAAAAAATTCTGAGGTGTCTTTTTCTTTAAGGTTTTGATGTGAATCAGCATTTTTAATTGCTTGAAAATTGCATTTTAAGGCTTTGTTTTACTATTAAAAATCAGCATTTTTAAATGCTTAACTGTCATTTAAAATTAATTTATTAGTAATGTGTTAATTAGTTGAAATGTAAGTTCATTTAAGAGTTTAATCACCTACCCTATTTTTAATAAAGGTTTTAATAGCGCAAGTGCTTGTTTATTCGGGCTTTACCATTGTGAATCAGCATTTTATATTCATTAAAATAGCATTTTAATGCTTTATTTTGTGCAATTTTTAATTAGGTTTCATTTGATGTAGGTATATACAAATAGATTAGTTTAAGTATTCGTTAATTTAAGTTTTACCCAATCAGCATTTATAATATAAAATATCATTATTACGCTTCATTTTTAAAAGGCTTTACTAGTCTTATTTAGAAGGTTTACCTTTGTGAATCAGTGATTTTTCTTATAGTGTTTTTAATAGTGCTGTTTTTTGCAAGTGCTAGTTTATTTGGGTGTTATATATTGTGAATCAGCATTATTAAATGCTTAAAAATGGCAAATGCGTTATTTTTATTAGGTCAAGTGCTAGTTCATTTTCCTAACTACTGCGCCATTTAATGGCTTGTTTTTAATAAATAATGTTTAATACTAGTACAAGCGCTGGTTTATTTAGGTTTTACCATATTAAATCAGCATGTTTTGATTCTTTAAAATATCGTATCGTAAATATTGTTAAAAAGCGTTTTCAAATGCTTTTACATTTTTAAAGCTTTTTACGCAATTTTTTGTGCTAGTTTATTTGCATTTTTATATTAAATTTGCTTTAAAACAGCATTTTAAAACCTAATTTTACGCCATTTTAATGTGTTTTTCCGAGGTTTTTTTATGGAAAAGTGCATTTATTAGTTCTAGTTTATTATTAGGTTTAAAATAACCAGTGCAAATCAACATTATTAAATGCTTCAAAATAGCATTTTAATGGTTTTTTTAATGTATTTTTATTTTAAGTAGCATTTTTAATAGTTCAAGTGTAATGAGTAATCGCTAGTTTATTTGCATTGCATTTAATATTGTGTGTAAAATATGTTACCAATGAAAATCAGCATTTTTAAATGCTTTAAAATATAATTTTATTGCGCGTCATTTTAAAATGACTTTACTATAAGTGTGTTAATTGGTTTAAGTTCATTTAAGGGTTTTACTATTTTTAATCGGCGCTTGAATCCTTTGTAGTTTAAGTCATTCTTAATGCCAAATCTAAGTTAATTTTTACCTGGCATCAGTAGTGTTTTTAATAGTGCAAGTGCTAGTTTATTTGAGTGTTATTGTAAATCAGCAATGTTGGCATTGTAATGCCTAATTGTGCGGTATTTTATTTCAATATGGTTTTACCATATTAAATCAGCTACTTTAAGTTCTTCAAAATATTATTTTAATGCTTTATTTATGTGTAGATATATTAGGAAGTATACCATTCTAAAAAAGCGTTTTTAAATGCTATTTTATTTATAGTTTTTTACTATTTTTTTACAAAGTACCTAGTTTATTTGCATTTTATGTTAAATTTGCTTTAAAACAACATTTCAAAACCTAATTTTACGCCATTTTTTATAGATTTTTTCTATTGAAAAGTGCATTTAATAGTGCTAGTTTAATATGTTTAAAATATGTAACCAGAGCAAATCAGCATTTTTAAATGCTTTAAAATAGCATTTTAGTGCTGAATAGCGCGTATTTTTTAATTATTTTTTGTAGTGAGTAGTATTTTTTATAGTAAAAGTGCTAGTTCATTTGAGTGTTACCATTGAAAATCAGCATTTTAATGCGTCATATATGTGTATATTGGGGGGTTTACCAATGTAAAAAATGCTTTTGTATTTTGCATGGAGTTATCGAATAAGTAGATTATTTGCATTGCATTTAATATTATGTTTAAAATATGTTACCAGTGAAAATCAGCATTTTTAAATGCTTCAAAATAACATTTTAATGCTGAATATCGCGTATTTTTGAATGAATTTTTTATAGTGAGTAGCATTTAAAGTGCAGTTTATTTAAGGGTTACCATTGAAAATCATCATTTTTAAATTCTTCTCTATCATTTTAATACATAATTTGTTTATTACCAAATAAACTAATAAATAAACTAGAGCTTTTTAAAACAAATTATTGAATAAGTTCATATAAAATACAAAAGCATTTTTTACAATGTTGTAAAAAATGCTTTTGTATTTTATATGAACTTATTCAATAATTTGTTTTAAAAAGCTTTACTTTATTTGCATTGCATTTAATATTATGAATAAAATATGTTACCAGTGCAAATCAGCATTTTTAAATGCTTTAAAATATCATTTTATTACGCGTCATTTCTAAATGACTTTACTAAGGGTTTTAATTGGTTTAAGTGCAAGGTCATTTAATGGTTTTACCATTTTTAATCATCACTTAAATCTTTTGTATTTTAAGTAATTCTTAAAGTTCATTTTGACCTAGCATCAGTAGTGTTTTTAATTGTGCAAGTGCTAGTTTATTTTAGTGTTATTGTAAATCAGCATTGTTGGCATTGTGATGCCTAATGTGCGTTATTTTAAAATGGCTTTATTTATAATGGTGTTTAATAGTACGTCCTGTTTTAATAAGGTTTTACCATATTAAATCAGCAATTTTAAATTTTCAAAACATAATTTTAATACTTCATTCTAAAAAACCGTTTTTAAATGCTTTTGCATTTTTAAAGATTTTTTGTGCTAGTTTATTTGCATTTTATGCTGAATTTGCTTTAAAACTGCATTTCAAAACCTGATTTTACGCCATTTTAGTAGGATTTTTTCTATTGAAAAGTGCATTTAATGGTGCTAGTTAAATATGTTTAAAATATGTTACCAGTGCCAATCAGCATTTTTAAATGCTTCAAAATAGCATTTTAATGCTAAATAGCGCGTTTTTTTTTATAGTAAGTAGTATTTTTAATAGTGAAAGTGCTAGTTTATTTGAGTGTTATCACTGCAAATCAGCATTTTTTAATTCTTCATTTTATCATTTGTGTGTATATTACCATTGTAAAAAATGCTTTTGTATTTTTTATGGACTTATTCAATAAGTTGTTTTAAAAAGCTCTAGTTTATTTGCATTTAATATTATGATTAATGTATGTTACCAGTGCAAATCAGCAGTTTTAAAATATCATTTTATTGCGCGTCATTTCTAAATGACTTTACTATAAGTGTTTTAATTGGTTTAAGTGCAAGGTAATTTAAAGGTTTTACTATATTTAATCAGCGCTTAAATCCTTTGTATTTTAAGTTATTCTTAAAGTTCATTTTGATCTAGCAGCATTAGTGTTTTAATAGTGCAAGTGCAAGTTTATTTGAGTGTTATTGTAAATCAGCATTGTTGGCATTGTAATGCCTAATTTTGCGTTATTTTAAAATGGCTTTGTTTAAAATCCGTGCTTAATTGTACGTGCTGTTTCAATAAGGTTTTAACATATTAAATCAGCAATTTTAAATTCTTTAAAATATCCTTTTAATACTTCATTTATGTATGTGTATATTTGGGGGTATACTAATTTAAAAAAGCGTTTTTAAAGCTTTTTACGAAATTTTTTGTGCTAGTTTATTTGCTTTTTATGTGGAATTTTCTTTAAAACAGCATTTCACAAAATAATTTTACGCCATTTTTTATGTATTTATTCTATTGAAAAGTGCATTTAATAGTGCTAGTTTAATATGTTTAAAATATGTTAACAGTGCAAATTAGCATTTTTAAATTCTTCAAAATAGTGAGTAGTTTATTAGAGTGTTACCATTAAAAATCAGCATTTGTAAAAAATGCTTTTGTATTTGTTATGTAGTAAGTTGTTTTTAAAACCGTTAGTTTATTTGCATTGCCTTTAATATTATGTTTAAAATATATTACTCGTGCAAATCAGCATTTTAAAATGCTTTAAAATATCATTTTATTGCGCGTCATTTCTAAATGACTTTACTGTAAGTGTTTTAAGTTCATTTAAAGGTTTTACTTCAAATAATTTAATCAGCGCTTAAATGCTTTGTATTTTAAGTTATTCTTAAAGTTAATTTTGACCTAGCATCATTAGTGTTTTTAATAGTGCAAGTGCAAGTTTATTTGAGTGTTATTGTAAATCAGCATTGTTTGGATTGTAATGCATAATTGTGCATTATTTTAAAATGGCTTTGTTTAAATTCCGTGTTTAATTGTACGTGCTGTTTCAATAAGGTTTTACCATATTAAATCAGCAATTTTAAATTTTTCAAAATATTATTTGAATGCTTCATTTATGTGTATATTTGGGGGTATACTAATCTAAAAAAAGAGTTTTAAAGCTTTTTACGCAATTTTTTCTATCAGTTTATTTGCGTTTTAAAACCTAATTTTACGCTATTTTTATGTATTTTTTCTATCGAAAAGTGCATTTAGTAGTGCTAGTTTAATATGTTTAAAATATGTTACCAGTGTAAATCAGCATTTTTGAATGCTTCAAATAGGTGCCTTTTTAATGCTGAATAGCGCGTATTTTTTATATTAAGTAGTATTTTTATTAGTGAAAGTGCTCGTGCTAGTTTATTACAGTGTTAAAAATCAGCATTTGTAAAAAAATGCTTTTTATTTGATATGTACTTACCTATAGTATAGTAAGTTGTTTTTAAAAGCGTTAGTTTATTTGCATTGCAGATTAGCATTTTTAAATGCTTTAAAATATCATTTTATTAGTTCATAACTATTTTTAATCCTTTGTATTTTAAGTCATTCTTAATGCCAAATCATGCCAGTTCATTTTGACCTAGCATTAGAAGTGTTTTTAATAGTGCAAGTGCTAGTTTATTTAAGTGTTAAAGTGCAAGTTCATTTAAGGGTTTTACTATTTTTACTGACGTTTCAATAATTTGTTTTACGCTATTTTAAGTAATGAGGTGGTTTTTTGTTTGGGTGTTCATATTGAGCCAGCATTTTTAAATGCTTCAGAATATCATAAAGAATAAAATTATTAGTAAATTAGCTAATTTAAAAGGTTTACCATTGTGAATCAGCATTTTTAAATGCTTTAAAATGTTATTTATTTATTTACTTTAAAGGTGGTTAAATTATTAGTATAAATTTATTTAAAAGGTTTACCGTTGTGAATCAGTATTTTTGAATGCTTTTGTATGAAATTTTAATTAAGAAGCATTTTTAAATGCTTTGAAATATAATTTTAACAGTTAAACATTTTAAAAGCTTATCCTCAAGGTTAACCATGGCATTTTTTAATGAATTTTAAATTATTTAATTTTATTATCTACTCTAAAAAATAAATTAGTCAAAAATAACTACTTTCTACAGTTACTAATGGCTGCTTTTTAACTTGTACCATGGTTAACCATGGGATACCATGGTATCCCAAAATTTAACACTCAATTCTTATGTAAAATTGTCCCCTGAATCCAAAAATGTCGTCAAAAGTTTAAAAAGTAGAACAGTTTTTGAGATATAGTCAATTTTCCATTTAATATGGAATTGACTATATCTCAAAAACTGCTTTACTTTCATAATTTTTAACCAGTCACTAATAACCGTAGACATTTTTGACTAATTCATTTTTAGAGTACGCTATTTATGTTAAATTTTTTTGTACACAGAACAGAAGATTTACATTGTTTTATTTGTATCTTCATACAAAAAATTATATCTTAAAAGTTTAAAAATATTATTGTTTCAGATACAAGAAATGTCCTTTATCAGGATCAAAACAGGAAGAAACACAACATGTGATCAAAGACCACGGACATAAACCAACCAATAAAAAGAAAACAAAAACTTACTCTTGTGCTTACTGTGAATATACGACTGTGAAAAATCATAATTTACAAAAGCACATCTATCACAAACATGCAGAACAAAATAAGTTAGAAAATAAAGTGGCTATAAAGTTAACAACTTACTCTTGTGTGTACTGTGACTTCACAACAGTTGGAAGTGACAAGTTGAACAAACACATTTATAGCAGACACAGAGAACAAAATTTGTTGGAAAATAAAGTAGCAATAAAAATAAAAAATTACACTTGCGTGTATTGTAAATTTAAAACGGTGGAAAATCGAAAACTACAAAACCACATCTACAGCAAACATAAAGAACAAAACGAGTTGGAAAATAAAGTGGAATTTAAATTAAAAACTTACTCTTGTGTGTACTGTGACTTTTCAACAGTGGAAAACCAAAGGTTGCAAAACCACATGTATTGCAAACACAAAGAACAAAATAAGCTAGAAAAAAAAGTACAACTACAAATAAAAAATTACTCTTGTGTGTACTGTGACTATACGACATTACAAAACTGTAAATTACAAATTCACATCTACAACAAACATAAGGAACAAAATGATCAAGAAAATAAAGTCGATATAAAGTTAAAAACTCACTCTTGCGTGTACTGTGACTTCTCAACATTCGGAAAACAAAGGCTGCAAAACCACATATACAACAAACATAAGGAACAAAATGTTTTGGAAAATAAAGTGGCGATAAAAGTTCACTCTTGTGTTTACTGTGACTTCACTTCAGCGGAAAATAAAAGATTGCAATACCACATATATAACAAACATAAAGAACAAAATGACGTAGAAAATAAAGTGCAAATAAAAGTGAAAACTTACTCTTGTGCGTTCTGTGACTATACAGCAGTGGAAAATAAAAGGTTGCAAAACCACATATATAAAAAACATAAAGGGGACAGTTAGTAAAAAAATATAATATAGGTTGTATTGTATAAAAACGGGGAAAAAATTAAACTTTTTAATAAAAAACGCCAGCATTCTTTAAAAAAACAGTCAAGTAAGTGATTTTTAATTTTTCGTCTTTGAAGTAAATTTACAAGTTAAAACTAGTGAATTTTTTAAAGAGTTATGGCCTTTTTTTCCTCAAGCGTAAATACTAGATAAATAAAATATTTTAGTTATTAGACTATGATAGTTTTAGAAACTTTTTTTCCCTAACATTAAGTACTCCAGCTTAGTTTAACTAATTTTGGACCGCTGCACAGTAATTGAAAACCCAAAAAACGTGGACAAGATAAAAAAAAATCGAAAGTTAGTATTTGAAGTTAGTAGTATAAGCCAAAAAAGTAATAAATATGTGGTAGGTTCTGGTAAAGGCATCCTGTACAACAATAAATAAACAAATAAATATTATACGTTTAGTTTTATTTTTATTACATTTATTATATACATTTATATTTAAATTTAGAACAATTAAAATTATAATAAGTATAAGAAAACAAACATAATAAAATAATATGAACTTATTTTGTTTTAGTGACACAACTGCATGCATATACGATGGATGTCTTTTCTCAGGACCAGAATACGATGTAACCCAACACATGATCAAAGATCATGGACATAAATTAACGATTTACTCTTGTGCGTACTGTGACTATACCACAACAAAAAACAGGCTTTTAGAAAGCCACATATATCGCAAACATAAAGAACAAATTGAGTTGGAGAACAAAGTATCAATACATTTAAAAACCTACACTTGTGTGTACTGTGACTACAAAACAGCAGAAAACCGTACTTTACAAACTCACATCTATAGCAAACATAAAAAACAAAATAAGGTAGAAAGTAGGGTAGAGATTAAATCTTGTGTGTACTGTGACTATACTACAACGAAAAACTTGTGTTTACAAAACCACCTATATAGAAAACATAAACAACAAAATGAGTTAGAAAAGAAAGTTGAAATAAAAATAAAAACTCATTCTTGTGTGTACTGTGACTTTACAACAGTTGGAGGCTATAGGTTGAACAATCACATTTATAGAAGACACAGAGAACAAAATAAGATGGAAAATAAAGTAGCAGTAAATATAAAAAAATACTCTTGTGTGTATTGTAAATTTAAATCGGTGGAAAATCGAAAACTACAAATTCACATCTACAGCAAACATAAAAAACAAAACGAGTTGGAAAATAAAGTGGAGTTTAAATTGAAAACGTATTCTTGCGTGTACTGTGACTATACAACGGTAGACTCCCAGTATCATTTACAAATGCACGTTTATAACAAACACAAAGAACAAAATGAATTGGAAAATAAAGTGGAAATAAAAATAAAAACTTACTCTTGTGTATATTGTGAATACACTACGACGGCTAACCAATTATTACAAGATCACATCTATAGCAAACATAAGGAAAAGAATGAGTTGGCAAAGAAAGTGCCAATAAACGTAAAAACGCAATCTTGTGTGTACTGTGACTTTACGACATTAAAAACCCGCAATTTGCAAATGCACTATTATAACAAACACAAAGAACAAAATGAGTTGGAAAATAAGGTGGAAATAAAAGTAAAAGTTTACTCTTGTATGTTTTGTGACTTCTCCACAAGTTCACAACAAACATTATCTCGGCACATTTATAGAAAGCATAAGGAATAAAATGAGAAACCTATTATGTCATCCAACGAAGAAAACTTTTTTTTAATTTTGTAATTTAGTAATTAAGCATAGATTTTGTAGGAAGAAAAAATTATTTTATAATTTTGCATGTATTATTTTATTTGGTTGCCTAGTATGGTATTTTAGGATTAAATAAACATGATTAAAAAGAAAACCCATAATTTGTTGCTCTCGTTTATTTTCTTTGTCCTGGCTTATAGAGTTAATAATTTATTAAATAATTAATATGGTTTTATTGGTGGATTTGTCAGGCGTTTGACTGGGTATATTATGGGATTTTACTGCGTGTTAATATAAAGGCAATAACCTCTAAAAAGTTGTTTACATAATAGAAGACATTACGTTGAACGCTTTTGAATAAGGAAATAACATCGGCGTTTCTCAGGGTAGTGTGTTGGTACCGTTATTGTTTCTCATCCACATTAATGACATAGACGGTCATACCGGTTCATTTTTTGTGCATTTGCTGAGGATATAACAACTGTCTCATTAATTAGAATTAGTATCAAAAGTAAGTGACACTTGCCAGCTTGTCGAATTACAAATTATAAAGAAAGTCCATAAATGAAGGTAAAACTATGTACAATCCATCAGGTACCTAACGGAGTTTAAGTTGTTGATTTTGGTTTAAAATACTAACAAACTAACAATGGCGACTCTTCCTAATCGTTTCATTCCATCTTTTGGTTAAGTTTTATATGATTTATTTAATTGATTAATTCTGGCCAAACCGCACTTTTACCTTTAGTATTTGTAATTATGGTACAGTATACTTTTTTGTTAATTTTTTAAAAATTTAAACCAAACATACCAAAGAAATTATTATTTGTGTAACAAATAATTTTGTTTCAGTGGAACATCAACCACATGTGGATACAGCGAATGTTTTTTCTCAGGAACAAAATACGAAGTAACCCAACACAAGATCAATGACCATGAACAAAAACTATTTAATAAAAATGCATCTCCACAGGATTTTTCTTGCGTGTACTGTGACCATACAACAGCCAGAAAAAATGATTTACATATGCACATCTATAGAAAACATAAAACACAAAATGAGTTGGAAAATAAGGTAGCAATACAAATACAAACTTATTCTTGTGTGTACTGTGACTTCAGAACAGTGAGAAGGGGGTTGTTACAAAGCCACATCTACTATCAACATAAGGAACAAGACGCTTTTGAAAATAAAGTCACAATAAAAACTTACTCTTGTGCGTACTGTGACTTTAAAACAGTGGAAAATCGTAATTTACAAAACCACGTTTACAGGAAACATAAAAAACAAAATGATTTAGAAAATAAAATAGAAATACAAATACAAACTTACTCTTGTGTATATTGTGAATTCACCACGACGGCAAACCAATTATTACAAGAACACATCTATAGCAAACATAAGGAACAGAATGAGTTGGCAAAGAAAGTGCCAATAAACGTAAAAACTCAATCTTGTGTGTACTGTGACTTTACGACATTAAAAACCCGCAATTTGCAAATGCACTATTATAACAAACACAAAGAACAAAATGAGTTGGAAAATAAGGTGGAAATAAAAGTAAAAGTATACTCTTGTATGTTTTGTGACTTCTCCACAAGTTCACAACAAACATTATCCCGGCACATTTATAGAAAGCATAAGGAATAAAATGAGAAACCTATTATGTCATCCAACGAAGAAAACTTTTTTTAATTTTGTAATTTATCTTAAATTAAGCATAGATTTTGTAGGAAGAAAAAATTATTTTATAATTTTGCATGTATTATTTTATTTGGTTGCCTATTATGGTATTTTATGAATAAATAAACATGATTAAAAAAAACCCATAATTTTTTGTTCTAGTTTATTTTCTTTGTCCTGGCTTATAGAGTTAATAATTTATTAAATAATTAATATGGTTTTATTGGTGGATTTGTCAGGCGTTTGACTGGGTATATTATGGGATTTTATTGAAGAAGACATTACGTTGAACGCTTTTGAATAAGGAAATAACATGGGCGTTTCTCAGGGTAGTGTGTTGGTACCGTTATTGTTTCTCATCCACATTAATGACATAGACGGTCATACCGGTTCATTTTTTGTGCATTTGCTGAGGATATAACAACTGTCTCATTAATTAGAATTAGTATCAAAAGTAAGTGACACTTGCCAGCTTGTCAAATTACAAATTATAAAGAAAGTCCATAAATGAAGGTAAAACTATGTACAATCCATCAGGTACCTAACGGAGTTTAAGTTGTTGATTTTGGTTTAAAATACTTACAAACTAACAATGGCGACTCTTCCTAATCGTTTCATTCCATCTTTTGGTTAAGTTTTATATGATTTATTTAATTGATTAATTCTGGCCAAATCGCACTTTTACCTTTAGTATTTGTAATTATGGTACAGTATACTTTTTTGTTAATTTTTTAAAAATTTAAACCATACATACCAAAGAAATTATTATTTGTGTAACAAATAATTTTGTTTCAGTAGAACATCAACCACATGTGGATACAGCGAATGTTTTTTCTCAGGAACAAAATACGAAGAAACCCAACACAAGATCAATGACCATGAACAAAAACTATTTAATAAAAATGCATCTCCAAAGGATTTTTCTTGCGTGTACTGTGACCATACAACAGCCAGAAAAAATGATTTACATATGCACATCTATAGAAAACATAAAACACAAAATGAGTTGGAAAATAAGGTAGCAATACAAATACAAACTTATTCTTGTGTGTACTGTGACTTCAGAACAGTGAGAAGGGGGTTGTTACAAAGCCACATCTACTATCAACATAAGGAACAAGACGCTTTTAAAAATAAAGTCACAATAAAAACTTACTCTTGTGCGTACTGTGACTTTAAAACAGTGGAAAATCGTAATTTACAAAACCACGTTTACAGGAAACATAAAAAACAAAATGATTTAGAAAATAAAATAGAAATACAAATACAAACTTACTCTTGTGTATATTGTGAATTCACCACGACGGCAAACCAATTATTACAAGATCACATCTATAGCAAACATAAGGAACAGAATGAGTTGGCAAAGAAAGTGCCAATAAACGTAAAAACTCAATCTTGTGTGTACTGTGACTTTACGACATTAAAAACCCGCAATTTGCAAATGCACTATTATAACAAACACAAAGAACAAAATGAGTTGGAAAATAAGGTGGAAATAAAAGTAAAAGTTTACTCTTGTATGTTTTGTGACTTCTCCACAAGTTCACAACAAACATTATCTCGGCACATTTATAGAAAGCATAAG